CCAGTATTCGCAATAAAGCTTAAGTTCTTCCGCAACTTACCGAAGGTCATTTTAACCTAACATAACGAGAAACATTTTACAGTTTTCGGAAAATGAGGCGGTTTTACATATTTTAGCTAATATGTTTAAAAAAGTGGACTGATCTGGCCTTACTTTTTGAATATTTTGGCCAAAAAAAAAACAATAATAACCAATGGCCAACTCACAATGACCATTTGTAGATGATAATTATGACAAATATGAAATAATAGTTAATTTCAATCCTCTTGAAATTTATCATTTTATTTGCAAGTTTGTATAGATATAATATACATCTTGGTTTTGATGATTAAAATACTAGATCTCTATACAAGGTGTTTAACACCATGCACAAATAAAGTAATTCCTGTTCAAATTGTTAATTAAGTGTAATATACAAGGTTAATCTAACAAATTTTTTATGATAATTAACTAGTTTTCGTATTTGGCCCTAATAGATAAAATATTTCATGAGAATTTTCACATCTGAATCGTATAATGAACTTCTTTCATAGAAGATGATATATTGATGTAACAAAAGCAATTATTAACACGTGTTTATACTGGTAGAAGTTGAAAAAATTGACACCCAGGGCCAGTTTTTTTAGGGGAGGGGGGGGATCTCGACAATCGTCGAGATCCAGTCGTTAACAGTATTGCCAATATTTGACATCCGGAGCTGCTGTTGGTTTCCTAAATTCCATGACTAATATACATAAACGCTAATTTGAATTTGCAAATTTAAAAATTTCATAACAAATCATCCATATGTTCTTTGTTTTCGTAAACTGTAAAATGTTTCTCGGCCTGTTACCTACATATTCTGCGTATAATATAAATTATTCGAAGTCTTGTTGTCTCTATGATGGCCGTATATAGAATTCGACTAACTGAAACTTGGATCTTAGCCTTGCATAAGTGCTTGCAACCATTGTATACTGTTTGATTCTGTTTTGTCATGGGGCTCGCTAGTAGATATACTGACAAATATGTATCACGACCCCTGCTATTGGAATACCATTTATAAGTCCAGGTGAATAGAACGGCAGTTATATATAACAAAAAAAAATATTAATTATTAACTTGATTGAGTAATGGTAATAATTAAAATACTGACATATATAATCAAAATAATTCCAGTGTTCTTTACTAATGAATCATTACACTCACTCACTTTGCATTGAATAAATGTGGATTCAAATTTTGAAACGAGAGGTTATGATTTGCTGTTCTTTGTATGCCATACTATGGCGTCTTGTAGAATGATATTATGTTAGTTGATGTAGGTGATATAGAAAGTTTCGGATGCACACTATCCCCTTTTTATCTGGATACGGCATATGCTCTGGTCATATTTCAATCGTGCACGCCGAGGCCATAATTATTTTGAGTTTGGGTGAGTAATCATCCACAACTGTCATTTCGCTCACCTTTTGATATGTTTCGAATCAGAATAATTGTAACATACAGAGTACAGTTTCTGCCGTGCAGATTAACATTCGTGGTATATATATATATATATACATACTGTCATATCTACATTATGTAATTCACTGTCTAAATCAACAAATGGCATAAATCCACATCAGATATACTTAGATCTGCATCACATAGTACTATATTCACATCACGTAATGATAAATCTACATAAAGCAATGTTACATAAATATAAAAAAACATCATCACATCATCTACCGTAACTTCATATATACAACACATAATCAGTTATCTGCATCACATGATGTATATACAAAACGTTATGTCATATCTGCATTACATAATGCCATCGGGACATACATAACTTTATATACCTATGCATGTAATCAACATCACATAATATCATATCTATATCAATCACGTAACGGCACTACATACATTGTAGTTTACATCTACATCACATCACATCACGTTATATATCTGCATCACGTAACGGTATATGAAGATCACACACTGTTATATCTGTGTCACGTAATATTATAATTACATGTCATAACGTCATATCTACTTAATGCAATGTCTTATCTACATCACGATGTCATGATATTATGATATTATATTGATATCGCATATATCACGTAATGTTCTATACACATCACGATATGATCTATTCACATCAAATAATGTTGTATCATCATCATCATACAATGTCACATTTACACCACCTGTTGTCATATCGACAACACGTAATAATACATTCACATCACGTAATGATCTAGCTACATCATATAACTAAATAACAAAATGCCATGTTTACATTCTACCACTGTGACACTGGCACACACTGGTAATCAGAGTGTAATCACATTGTGATAATAGACATATCACAACTTATTGATATGTTTATACTACTATTGATATATTTACACTACTATTGATATATTTACACTACCATTGATATATTTACAATGTTATGTCGTTTTGTACATTTATGTACGCCGGGAATTTCTCGATTTCTTTCCCCGGCGTGTCCCGCCAGTTTCCCTAAAAAAACGGGTATCATGGTATGATTCAAACGATCGTACTTACAATTTTCCCAGGATTTAACAATCATAAATAATGACAACTTGTCAAATGACATACCAATATATACATTGTGTTTTTTTGGATATAATAATCATCTTATTGACACTTAGTCAGCTCAATTGCTTACATACAAAGCGCTTTCAAAACAGACAAGCACATTGATTCAACAGCACATTGAACAACAGCCTATTATCCGACAATCACTGCAAAACACGTACGGACAAACCATGATTAATTAGGCCATATGCTGTGTGGATATGGAACAAATAAACTTTAACAGCCGTTACTACAGCTTTTTTTGTTTTCCAATAATTACGACTCTCTATTCCGCTGTACTTCGTAGTACATCACGACAACGACTGACAAAATAACTTTACTCAGGGTCTATAATAGTATATACCCTCCCTCTCATTAACAATCACATAGCAAGATATTTGCAAACGGCGCATCATTGTGCCTGTATGCCCAGGTACGAAGACAATTGTAATATGAGAAAAAGTTTGTCCTTTATCTACCCGCCCTCTTATAGTGGACTGTTCTTGTTGGCAGTTTCCGGTGCCACATATTAACACAATGCTCTACTTATCAATGAACTTACTAGTAGTTAATAATATCAATTACTCAGTATACAGTACATTATATTGTCAATGCCCCTTATATACATATAAAGAAAAGGGTGGATAATCTTTGCGAGCATGGGCTTTCAAAACGTCAGAGTTTAAGTCATATTTAGCGGAATCACTATATTTTAGCTAATTTTGATTCACTTTGTCGACCGTGGTCTTCTGCTGTATTCACTGACGCGCGATTAATTGCGTCGTTCCATCTAGTGTACGCGCTTCCAGATTTCGAAACTGATAATGATGGCAGTCTGACTGGGTCGCCATTATAGTTGATGAACTTAAGTTAACTCAGGATTAATTTATCCAAGCACATGAGAGAAAAGAGTGGAAATACAGGGAGGTAAGTTTCTTCTGTCGCGAGCAGTTTCTTCTAGGATTCTTTCTTCTCGATCGCTACTACTTCAAAGTAACCGTCGAATCGGGTGGTACACGTAGCATCCAAAATAACATTTATGCAGGACAAGGGGACAATTAACAATTATAACATCTACACTGAGGCTTTGAAAATTAAAATGTAATAGAGATACCAATATAATTACGTAACCCCAGGTACGCATT